CCCCCCTCGACGAAAGCATTCGTCCAACACGCGGATGTTCCGATACCTCCAACCCGAGAGCCCCTCACAGATGTCTGTGCATTTTAGTGCCGGCGCACACCTTCTCCAACACCAGTGGAGGGAAGCCAAACACCTATTCTGTGCTGCATACGGCAGTTTGTAGCCACAGGCATCCAAGTGTTGTTCTCACTAGACAGACTGAATGATCACGTTCAAGCCACAAGTGTCAAAAACCACAAAGCTGCCCCTCCACTATTTAGACACGAACACAGCTTCCCGCGCAGTTGTTCTGTTCAGAAAAAATCTAGACACGAGCACAAAATGTTTCTCACGATTTCTAGTGCCGCGTTCAGGTCCGCCCAGTCAGGGTGCGACTCCTTGGTGTGCTTTAGCAGCTGTATGATGAGGAGTCGATAGCGCGGCACCCGCTGCACCGGCTGGATGAGGTAGGCTTTCAGGTCCAGCCCGTGGCACGCCTCCTGGTGCTCGCACCCCCGAATGAATGCGTTGAATTCGGAGAACTCTTGGCAGGCTGCGAGGCTGTGGTTAAGATGATATCCGTTCGCGATCGCAAGTGACAGCAGTATAGGCCCTGTTTGACGCCGTTATGTGCCCCGAAAGTTCACCGGCACTACGCCGGACCGGCACTTTCCAAAGTATTGAGAATTACTTGGGGAATTCAGCGTGTGCCCGCCGAAAACACCGGCACTATACCGGGCACCGGCACTGTTCAACCGGCACTGATAGGGACCTCTGCCGTAGTCGAAAATGGAGCGGAGTCTGTGTGGGTCTGGTTGGGTTAGAAGCTCGGAGGTTGCGTTGCACACGTTAAGCGCGGTACCATTCATAATATCCCGTGAATTTCCTTCCCCCTCGCCTGCACCCTCACCAAACAAAAACTGCCACATGTGCACACAGTTTTCTTAAGGCGAGGGTTAGGGCTAAGGTTGTTAGGGGAGTACCGCTCGAAGAAAGTTGTATAAAGGCGACTCATACCAATGACAGTTGCAGCAGGACAGGAGTGGCACCGAGGCGCAGAGGAAAGTGGGGACTCCGTCTATACTCTCCCACGCACCCAGAGCCCCTGTAGATCGGTACCACCATGGCCATGGCCATCCCAGTATCTCTCGTTTTTTCTGGGATGGCTATTGAAAAAAAATGATCCCTTTTGTGTGGTTATTGAAAGAAGCGATCCCTTTCGTGTTTTACCTCGACCCCAGCTACCCACGACTGAAACAACACTACTCACGTCTTCAGAGATTGCGGGTAGTTCTTGACGTACACCGAGTACGGCTTGAACATGTCCAGGGACTGCCTCCTCAAAGTGGTGCCAATGCCTCTTCGTCTGCCGTCGATTACCTCACCGTCACGACCGGCGAGGTCCGACAACAACCGCTCGTTGAATTCCAAAATTTCCGCCGCGTTGGAGAAGATCTCGGACACGCTTCCTGCGGACAGTCGTAGAAGTCGAAGGCAGGCGCCGTCGTCTTGCTACCGAGATAGGTGGTTCCGGTGTCGCTTCGAGAAGTTGTGGAATGAGCAAAGGATTATCCAACGTAGCAATGACCAATAACCTGCAGCTGCCGCCATGTACCACGCCCATAACGACTAGCACCACCGATAGCAGCAGGCGCTGGTTCTATCCGCCGTAGGAACGGCATTGAAGGTCAAGCGATACATTCCTAGAACACGCTTAGAGCGAGGTTTCATAGTCTCGCAGGAGGACTTTTTCCACGTGCAACTGTCTCGTCATGGTGAAATTGAGCGTCAAGAGTCCCCGCAGGTAGGGGAGATGTATGGCGATTCATGGTACGAGATGATATTTGTCTCCTGCTTCACTGCCATACTGCTGTGATGCTTCCGCCTTCTCAAGGTACCCTTCTGCTCATGACCGTACTGCTGTGGCGGCCAGGGTCAAACATCGACAAAGCACGCGCAAAAATAAGCACAGTACATAATACGATGCCACGAGCATGCTGTAGGTGAACGCTCCCATGAGTTTCGATACTCCCCGGTGTATCTTCTCGCTGTATTCATTCTCCGCACTATAGAGCCCCCATGTATGCGATCAAAATTAGTCGTAGAAAGGAGGATTGTGTGAGAAACCTAACGGCATTGGGTGGGTCACGCTAGACGAGAAAATGATACCGTGATACACCCACCAAGACAAGAAAGCCGAGGTATTCTAAGGGTTTGCTCGACATAGAGGGTGTTAGCCCCACGAGCCAGGTTTCTCATGTCAACCCACCTGCACGAATGTCCAGTCCGTTCATGCCTTCGGCGGCCCATTTTTCGAGCGGCCGGAGAAAGACCATCACAAGTGTGCGTAGTTCGTTCACATACGTTTCCTCGGACGAAATGATTTCGTCCCGGACCTGTACAGTGAGCAGCAGCACACAGAATGCATGCAGGCCCGGCGCTCGTTTGGGCGGAACCGTGGATTGCTTATCCAAAGGAGAAAACGCGTTGTATCGGAGCACGTTTTTTTCGGTGTACAATTAGTAAGCTCGGGATGTTTGCTGAGGAGGTCGGCGTGTTACCGAAGCTTCCGAGGTCGAAGGACCCACGCGCAACCATAGCTTGACTGACGTATTCCAACAGCTCATGATCGACACAAATATAACGTTGAACTTGCACCACATAGAACCTGGAGACTCCCATCTAACGCTTGGCACAGAGCATCCAGCAGACCCAGGCGCCAAGTAAATAATGCTGTGGACTATTCGGTGCGTCGTGGGTGTTGCTGCAAAAAGTTGATCGTGTGTGTGTTCCGGTATTTTGTACAGAGTTGTCCGTATCATACATCTCATTTATTGTTATTTTAGTCTACTGCTGTTATTCCCCACACCTTTCCTCCTTCGGCAGTTGTCCCCTAGTCTACTGTAATCATTGTCTCAAGATGGTTTCAGCCGTCCCGTTTTCCCTCACCGAGGCGAGCGTTTTCTCGACCGCAAGTTGCAATTGTTTTCTTGCACTCAAGGGAGAGAATCGGAGTTCAATATTCCAACTACGTATGCATATGAGGCGACTATTCGAGAACCATAACACCACGCAATGTTTTGGCCTTTCTGGAGGCGATTCTTTTTTCATCGTTGCGGAGATGACGGCAGCGAGAGGGTCAACCTGGTGCCCTTCTGAACGTCCAACGGTAACGCTACAACACAGTCTGCATCTGTGCCCGAAGCGTCAGCCACATCTCCTCGAACGCTTCGATAACACACAGCCGAGTATCGGACATCCTCCAGCATGCATGTGGGCATCGCGATGGAATCGCGGAGGATTACATTGCAGCAGTCAAACATGTTCTGTAGACCCAACTTCCCGATCTCATCGGCACATACACAAAGCGTCTGTGTTTGTACTGCTGTACACCGCTTCTACACATCAGTGGCAGACGACGCCTGGATCTTCTTACCTGTGTGCGCTTAGTGACGACTTTCCCCGGCGAAGAGCCCTTCCGAAGAGAGGATGGTGCTGTCGATGCAAGCGCATGTTGCCGTTGCTGTTGCTGCTGCTGTTGCCCCTGATGGTGACACTCCTGGTTATGATGATGGTGTTGTTGCTGTTGTTGCGCATCTGCTTGTCGAGAGGCTGCCGAGTTCCTCCTCCATCCCAACCCCATAGCGGCCTCAAGGCTCCCGCCCTGCAGAGACACGCTCTTCTTCCTCTCCTGCAAGAGGTTGAGATCAACGACCGCAGCAGTGGAAAAAATGCAACTATTTCTACTCTGTATTTTCAAGTAATTTTCTCAAAAAATGCAACAACTGCCTACAAGTAAAACCGTTTTTTTTCGGTTCGGGATGGCGGCTATCCCACCGCAGGTTCTCGCTGAGAACCGTACGAGATACCCGCCAATACAAAATCACGGTGCCCCCATTCCGGCCAATACACACCAGCCAGCAGCAGTAGCACTGCTGTGCTTGAGCAGTGTGCTTCTGCCCTCTGGTGAGGATGGAGAACTATGAGCGTGGCGAGAAGCTGGGAGAGGGAGCATGGGGTGTCGTCACATCAGCGGTAAGTTACGAGAGAGGTTTAGTCGCACTTTGGTGAGAACGAAATGCAAGCATCATCCGATTGTTTCAGCCCGCTACAAGTACAACCGGTTTTGCTTCGAAATGTTTCCTTAACGCGGGGAAGTTTCCTGAAACTCAGGGGATCAGAACGCACCATCCCCGGGGTCAATGGTGGCGGTACATACGTCAAAAGGTGCGCCCTGGGCAGGGCGTTGTTGGAATTAAAAAAAGAGGCTGGGAGTCGGCGAGAAAATAATTGTTTATTGCAGAACACCTCCATACAGCACGGAAAATACCTGATGGACACTTCAAATTCACCTGGTGACTCTTGTTTACCCCTGGGGGAGCGCACGCAGAAACTCTCCTGCGTTACTCTCTACTGGAGCGCCGTTCAGACACAAGCACACAATACGGCGTATGGCCAACAAACCGCAAACACTCAACGCTACGACTTCTGACATTCCGTGCACTCCCTCTGCTGTCCGTAGCCTTCCTTCCCGATGCCGCGACCACAAAACGCGTGCATCCATCGACCGCACGGGCACGTGTGGATACCCGACACGAGCTTCGTGATCGTGCACGTGCGTTCCCCACACCGTTTTAACCCAGGTGCAGAGGGCGCACCGGTAGGTGGAATGAATCTTTGCATACCGCAGACAGCAGGTGAAGCAGCAGACCTCTCTGCTGGCGAAGAGGGTACGCTGAAAACGTACTTTAAGGGGGGTCCGCGGACTAGAATATAGACCCCCCGTATATTTTACATTGTGCGGGGTATTGTGTTTCGGCGAAAAAATGTTTCCTTTACCCGGGGAGTTTCCTTAACTTCGGTTTCCTTAAAGCGGGGTCGACTGTACAAGCGGTCGCACCGCGTATCGATGCTACTTCGAGAATCTCGATTACACACGCCACATGAGAACCACTCACAGAGCATCCTTGATAGGATATCTTGAGGACTCTCTAGAGTTAGCTGAGGAAATGAGGAGAGATTGCACATGTTTTTTCTCAGCTTTTGCTTCATCATGATCGCTTCAGACGCAAAAAGCGACCGGGCGCGTCGTGGCAATCAAGAAGATCGCCATGAAGCTGGGGAAGTACACGGAGGGGGCGAACTTTACGGCGCTGCGAGAGATCAAGCTTCTTCAGGAGCTCAAGCACGACCACATCATTGAGGTGGATTTGGGATGCGCTCCTGCTACTGTTTGCTGCAGCTCTGTCGTACGTGTACCCGTAGACACACGTAGTGCTTGCGTTTGCTGTACCCATCACACGGTCGCCCCGGTGGTCTGTATAAGTGGTATCCTCGTAATCCGCTAGTCGCAGAGGTCGTGAGTTCGAATCCCCGTGGGGTGAAAAAAATACGAAAATGTGCGGGTGAAAGCGAAATATAGCTGACAAGCTCTCGTGAGTACCAAACTTCGACGTTAGCACCGTTGAAGAGGGAAAGGGACGGCTGGACCCTTGCCGCGATAAAAATAAAATTCAGCACGCACCGCAGTAGGAAGGTGGGGCACGAAAATAAATAAAAAGAAGGAAAAAGCCCTGGTGTTTACCCCCTCCTGTGTGACCCTGGATTGTTGAAGTTGTACGAAAAAATACACTGAAAAGTGTAGTACACTACATACACGTCTCACCACGAAAAATGGGGGGACTGTCGCCATTATAAATAGGACGAAAACACACACACACACTGCATCGCACTTCGTACGAAGGGAACAATATACTCTTTTGAAAACTGTAGAAGACATCACCCCCCGTGGATCGATCTCCAAAGCTCTTATTTACTCCATAGCATAGAGGATTACGGTGCGAACAAAATGGCGGCGTTTACACGACAACCTACCTGTGCCTTGTCTTATCCCGTACTGGCTTAATCCCGATGTGTTTTGTTGTTGGGGATTTCTGTTTTACGTCAAAAGGAAAATAAGTACAGATAGATGTATCTCTTAAACTATCTTGAGAACAATAGGATTGGATAAACTGCCTGATAGAGTTGCTGAAAGGAGACTTGCACGTTTTCAACTCATGCACCTGGTATGTTTACGGGATAGGACTACCTGCGTCTTGTTTTGTCCCGTCCGCAGCTGGTCGATGTCTTTCTCATCCACGAGGACCTTAACCTGGTTTTCGAGTTCTGCGAGACCGACCTCGAGTCTATCCTCATGGAGCAGAGCGTTATCCTGAAGCCCGAGCACGTGAAATGCCACATGAAAATGTTGCTCGAGGGACTCGGGTACCTGCACGACAACTTCGTGCTGCATAGGGTGAGTTTGAGAACCCCGAGCAAGAAGCGACGGAGACTTTCCGCCGTAATCACAAGAACACACCTATGTGACCCCGGTTGGGTCGTCTAGCTAATAGTAGAAGTGGAGGATAGGGGCCAGAGGGGCAGACGACACAATCCGATGATGGGAGAAAACAAAAAAAAACTTTGTCAGTTATCCTAGAGTACAAGTAGACTTTCCGCCGTTGTGTCACAAGAACACGCCACTGTGAATGAACGCTTTCTTAATTTATCCTTGACTACAAGTATTACCTGTGGATGGAGATGACTTCGTGTTGTTTGTTGTAGAACAATGGAAACCAGTCAATTTCCCGCCAACACCGAGCGGTAGACGGTGCCCCAAGCATTGCTGTAGTGTTGTATTTTGACACCGTAGATGGCATAAGATGAACGCCACACGCCCTGGACGGACTATCAAAGCTCGACCGAAGTAATTGTGGTGCCGAGAGCGGCGTCATTGGAGCCATCTCGTCGAGAGCTTTCCAAAACGAGCCATTTGATGCTGACATGCTTTTCGTCGTTGTTGAGCAGTGAAAATCGATTCATGGGGTGTGGGATCTTGTGTCACGTCTGGTAGTCATGGCCACAATTTGGAAGGCGCTATATTTGTCGTCGACAGGATAGAAGCAGGGACCGAGAGACGTCGATTAGAAAGCGGTGGCGACAGCAAACGGGACTGCTGATATCAACGGGACGATCAATGAGGGGAGAAAGCGAGCCCCCACCCCCCCGGTGTTTACCATCGGGGTTGGGTTTTCGTCGCTTGGCAACGACGTTGTAAAACAAGCCACCCCTCCCGGTGTTTGCCATCGGGGTTGGGTTTTCGTCGCTTGGCAACGACGTTGTAAAACAAGCCGCCGCCCCCGGTGTTTGCCATCGGGATTGGGTTTTCGTCGCCTGGCAACGACGTTGTAAAACAAGCCAATTCACTTCGTGAGCTCGGCAACCAGGTTACCGTTTTTTTTTTTTTACCTCCGTTTTTTTTTTGGCGGTAACCATAGTGGTGGTCGAGTAGATCATGTTGTGCGGGGTCGAGAACCCTCACTCCGCGCAAGGGGAATGATCGCACCACGTTGTGTTAAAATGGTCAAGCACCCTCAAGGCAGTTACACAGTGAATACAACTGTCAGGAAGTGAAAGCACCAGAAAATAAGTTAAGTCATACGCAGCTGTCATCCGTACGCAAGGAAGTAAGCACAAGATGCC